TTTTTTTGTCTGCCTGTCTGTCTGTTTGTTCCGGGTAGTCTTCTAAACGGCCGGACCGATTACGATAATATTTTACTACCAGGTAGCTGTCTACATAAGGAATAACTTAGACTGTTTTCCTCACAGAAAAACCCTTTAAAATTTTGCCCTTTCCGGTCATCGAACCTACTAAGGCAACGCTTTTTCAAATTCCGCGAACGAAGTTGCGGGTACCAGCTAGTACTCAATAAAGACACAGCATTTAAACCATATAAATACATTAACATAGGGAATCTCTTTAAATCACTTGCATCGCTAGTATTCTTGTTAACTATTAAAAATAGACTGATGTATGAATGTGTATTCAGGCCAGCAGTACATTAAGAAGAAAAGTGGGTCAAACTAGATTTCGCCTTGATTTGGCGCCACCTATTTGACGACACATGTATTTCTTACAGAAGACGACTTGTAAAAGGCGATACTAAAATTACTGCTTGGATGTTTAGCATTCAGTAAGAACTTTCAAGAATAAGGGCAACTCTGACCTGAGCACGTGAAATATCAGCTATGTCCAGTTTAAGAGTATAAAGCGCAATGGACAAGATAAAAGTTAGCAAAACTAGTCGGCCCATGTAAAAGATTCAAAGACTGTATTTAAGGTCCGAACAAAGGAAGTATTTCAGCACTAAGAAAGGATTTTTCGGAAGTTTTACTCCCAAGGGGGTAAAATAAGGGATGAACGGTTGTATGGAAGTACGTCAGTAAAGTCGCAGGCAATAGCTAGTAGTTTATAAAAATTAAGTGTGTATCAGGTAATTAATACGTTTTTAAATTGGGCCTAGCCAACTATAGCCAGCAGTGACATGAAATTTAAACCAATTCGTTCATAAATTACAGTGGATGTAATTGAGCGATGCTTCGTAACAACATAATTGTAATTATTGTTATTAGTGATAGCTTTAATTAACTTTTATTTGTACCCAGCTGACCCGACAAATGTTGTCCTGTCGCCATTTGTTTATATTTTTTGTTAAATTTTTGAAGAGTTTTAATGTTTAGTATCATCCTATTTTAAAATGATCGCTGCCGGACCGGACTGTCGTTTCCAGAAACACTGGGTGGGGAAAGTCGTAGGTCAGTACAAATAAATAAATTAAAATAATGTTTAAACTAGAAATACTATCTCTAAATCCCTATAACAAAATGAAAGATCACTTTATTTTGCGCAAAGTAATAGCCGTAATGAAACATAAAAGAACGAATACAATGAATGAAATATAAATCGATCCAGCCATTCTATTATGTGCTTGCCAACAAACAGCAATTCGTCTTTATTAAATTTTATATAGATAGATTAGCTGGCTCGGCAGTCGTTAGCCGGTTAAAAGTTCAATAAAATCAAGTCTGAATTTTATGTCTGTGCCACTCTACGAAATGCTAAGTTTTGGATAGAGATAGTCTGCCCAAATTTAACATTGTATAAGACAATTTTTAACATTTAATTCTTCCCGGACCCAGCAAAATTTTATACGGTTTTTTTGAGATAAAATAGCCTAAGTTACTCCTTATATAGACAGATACCTCGTAGTAAAATATAATTAAAATCGGTTCAGCCGTTTTGAAGATTACCCAGAACAAATATTTAAACTGGTTTTTAGGCATAAGTATCGTGTGAATAAACGGCTGGACCGTGTGAGCATGAAAAAACCTATTATTTTGACATAACAAACATACACTTCAATTTGATTTATTTGTATAAAGGAGGATTAATAGGCACTTTTCTAAATCAAGTACTTTCAATATTATTGTATAACTTAAAGTAACAAACTGTTGAAAACAACAACAGTGAATTTTGATGTAAGAAATACTGGATCTATTTGTGTTTGTGGATTTGTGGCGCTACAAAACTTAGTTTTGTTACAGTAAAGTGTAAGTAAAGTGTAGGTAGAAACTATTTCCGCAATTAAGGTTAATACAAAAACTGGCTCTCTTGAAATATTTCGTATTACTTGAAAACCATTGCGGGTGTGCCGCTAAAACTTAGGTATATTATAGTCACGCTATGTTTTAGAGGCTGATAAGGCGCAATTACATGCTGTGTTCTCCACCACGAGTATTTTTATAATAATCAAACTTTCAACTCAATGGTGTAAATTAATATCTATACCCACATATTATATTTAATTCGTGTGGTGACGGATTCCGAATAAAAGGTGGGTGTCGTTAGAAACGGCTAAGGGAACAAACTACGCAGGACAACAGCTCTGAGGGCCAAGTGCGAGTTTATTTCACTTCTTCTCGATCGTCACGGTGACCGCGTTCGACGCTGTGATTGGCCCGCACTGAAATCTGCACCAATCACAACGCCAAACGCGCTCGCTGTCGAGAGCGAGTTGATACGAAATAAACTCGTACTTGGGCCTCTGTAAAGAGAAGGTAAACTTCACAAAAACCCTATACCTACTAACCCGTCTGGCCAGCGTGGTATAGTAGGCCAAGACGTCCTTTCTAAGGAGAGGCCTTTGAAAGGAGGGAGAGAGAAAGGATGTTGATGATGATGATAATATTTCATTCCCTTTTAATATACCATTTTTTTTTCTATTTTTTTAAATACTTTACTATATTATATTTGGTAATATGTTTGATATTCTTCTGCCTACCTTTTTGGAATGCCGGTGTAAGTGTATGTATAAAATGTATCGTCCGACATAAAATATAAAGTTCTTTGTTGCCAATTTTTTAAAGGTACCTTTAAAAAATTAGTAGTTAATATCTAATAATAATTATTGGTAGTTATCTGACCTATTATTTTTTATAAAAAAAGTAATTTCAGAATTGATCTTTTCAATTATTAATCACACTCGTGCATGTATGCAAAGTAGGCCACGCAAACAAACCAGACAGCTACCCTGTATAATATAACTATACTGGCAGAAGATATTGTGTTACGAAAAATGTGGCCTTTTTGTTTAATGGTTTGTAAAAGTGGTCATTAGCATTCCAAAGTGTTGGTCCTTTTTGTGCTTGGTTTTTAATGAATTTTGCGGCTATGATTTTAGACTTTAGTTAGGTATAACATAAATAGGTATTATATTATACAAATAGTTCTTATTAACTGTTTGTATAAGACTCGTATATCCGATTTCCATGTAATACTTTAAGATAAACTTTAATTTTTTGTAACTTTAAATTAAGGAATGACATCCGACATTGTGATATTGTTTACGTTCAATATAAGGTTCAGGCAAATTAATAGGCACTGTTACGACTATATCTAATCGTCGTGACACGCGAAAGCTGCTTAACCTCTAGTATTACTATTTAAATTACTTCATGAAACTCGTGACAATTACGGCATTAGTTCCCCATTCATAAATTTATTGTAAAAATGATAACTGATTTAAAATTTTAACTAAATAATTGTATACGGAATGCAACCCTTAAAGTGTTTTTTTTTTTTGTAATAACATAAGGAGAAAACGAATAGGCGGGACATCTGATGGTAGGATGGTGGGCCAACAGTCACAAGTGCATTACCATACTTAAACTTCAAAGCTCTCATTTTTTGTTAGGCCTTTAAATTTAAAGTTTATAGTCTACATTTGTTATTATTAGCTGTAAATATCCAGTACAAATGTTAACTAGGTTTAGTACGGAAAGTTAATACACCGACAGTTCAACTTATGTTGGAAATGAAGAGCTCGACTTATCTTACAAACAAGTCAATTATATGGCAGTTTTTTTTTATTTCATTAATTTTGGTCAGACATCGATCACAATTTATGTAGTAAATATAATTAACATGCGTTATTGATCGAGTATTAAGTTAATGCAGGAGCTACTCCGCATGAGAGATGATCGAGACAAAGGCGGTAGGAAAACCAAATGTGTTTACATTACAACATTAGCATACTAACTCCCTAAGCGTTCTGAGAAATTGTATGATGTAAATTTGTCTCAAATACTCGGAAACCCATGGCTTGAGAGCGGGTCGACCGATTTAGCCGATCATTATTTTTAATGTTCTCGCCGGAACCCGGAAGATTATGGCAAAGAAACACGCTCCTTTCTTTGAGAATTCTTTATTCTTTATTGATAAACGGTTTTACATTAAACTGCAAAGCACTAGCATATACTCGAAGTTAGATTAGAATGATCAAGAACAGAAAATCACTTTTTTCAAGACAACTCCCGCACTAGGGATACTAATATTGTGTCGTGGAGAAAGAAGTATTAGTACAAATCAATTAAAGAGTATTTTATACTAATAATAGTTTTAAATTGAAAGCGCTGATTTCTGGAACATTTCACGCCTCATTCTTAAAAAAATCAGGACAAGTGCGAGTCGGTCACCCACCTAGGATTCCGTATAAATTTGTAGGTACATTTTATAAATAGTTCAGGAGTCATGTCTCGCAATTTTTCCGGGATTTACCTGAAATTTAGTTTCTAAAGTCTATAATCACTTAGCTTATTGTGTTTTACTAATGAAATTCTACCACAATGATTGATAACGTACTTTAAATAACTAGTAGGTTTATTTTTATGATTTAATTACAAATGTATAGATTTCAGATTTTCCCTCTACTTGTAATATAAGGCGATATTACTTGCCAAATTTTATAGTACTAGGTCAACGGGAAGTACCTACGTCCTAGTTTATTAATTTTGATTCCCTTGAAAGTGTCAAAATATGCGTTTTTTGCGACATAAACGGCCGTTTTTTTTACGTTTACTTAGAAGTTTGATTTTTTCACAAGTTGAAGGGACCTAAATATATGGTTTTAATTTCAACTCGATATCTCCACGAGTTCCCGAGATAAAGGGTCTTGATAGACAGACGGACAACAAAGTGATCCTATAAGGGTTCCTCTTCTCTTTTTGAGGTACGGAACCCTAAAAAGACGATAGGCTTATATCAAGAGAACCTCGATATGTAAACCTATTGAGGTTTACATCGCGCTAAGTTAGCGTGACATATTCTGTATTTATGTTAAAAATATAAAAGTAACGTCACGTACCGTACGCAAGAATGAAACATCATCTTGCTCGCTCGCTCCTCCCTCAGCTTCTGCCATTGTGTCAGTTTTCAGTCAACTGTCAGTGGTCTACTGCAACGTTGCCATAACACGGGAAATGCATCACTGTGAACAAAAGAAAAACAAATGTTATTATTCATAGTGCTCTTTCATTTCAAATGTTAATAAATCTACTCTATATTATAACTAAAATTAAAATTATATATTGTCTACAATTATAAATAAACTTCTTGCAATATGTTTAAATTTTCGTTTTTTTTAATTATTAACAAGCTTAGATCATTTATGTCGAGATAAACTGACAGGGACAGGGACAGGGACTTCGTAGGAGTTGACAAAAAATTGTCTAACTGTTGGTTACTACGTTTATTTCCGCTATAGTTGTATGTGTCAGTTGTGTCGTCACTGTAACTACAAACCCTCGAATAAACGCACGCCAGCATAACAAAGTTGGTTCGGTTTTAGTTTTTTTGTAGTGCGGCACTTTATCTAGACAAATAAATATTCTAAGTTTACAAGATGTGCTAACTTTATCTATATAATGCAATATAAATAGTAAATATTGCAAAAACAAATCAAAGTTTACTACTAATATTCTTTTAACACTCTCAAATTATTCTAAATATTTGTTCTAGGAGTATTTTTGTCGGTAGTAGGTATATCGCTTTGTTTGTATAAATCACATAATCCAAATTGCAAGCTGATCACGTTAATGCCCTTCTAGGTATATAGGTAAACAGTTTAAAACCTAAAACAAAGGATTTTATATTATGCTTCTTGCGGATTTATGCCTAAAGATTTTCACCTGTATCTAACTAATATATTTTATATATATTTCTCTGTCGTGTCGCTCTTGGCAGAGCGGTCGTGGTCACATTGAGACGTCCACGCCAGCGACAGAAGCGGACACAGCCCTCTGTATAATCACGCAGCCTCCCACCGCGGATCTCACCTGGTCGGTCCAGCGCATAGGTGCCCTGCCGCGGCATCTGGTTCTCTCCACCTTGCCTTGCACTATCAGTCGCTCTATGGAGTCGCTATTCAGCCTAGAGACATATCCAAAATATTGCAGTAAGCGCAACTGTACCGTGGTTGACAGACGCTCTGTAATGCCGAGCTCCTGGAGTATGGACACGTTGGTGCGGAAGTCCATCCACGGTATCCCGAGCATTTTCCTCAAGCACCACATCTCTAGAGCGTCAATCTTCTTCTTTTTCAACTCACGGACTGTCCACGTCTCTACGGCGTACAGAAAAATGGAGAATATGAGAGTTCGCACGAGCCTGATTTTGGTGGCTTTGGTGAGGTTGCGATTCCCCCAAACTCTCTTTAACTTCTCCATTGCAATTCTCGTTATGGCCATACGTCGTTTTACTTCATCTACGCAGCCACCGTTATTTGATAATAAAGCCCCAAGGTATACGTAGGTCTGGACCACGTCACAGTTCGCAATCTGTGTCACTTCACTTCTTCACAATATATTTTCAGCAAGTATTTATTTATCTACAATAAGTTTCTATGCATCTATTTGAATTACACAATTTTCTTCTATTTTAAGATTGTTAGATGTACCTACTTTTTCCAGATTTTTTTACTATTGTTAGAATACTGCCTTAAAACCGAGCCTATTTTACAACTGTTTTTAGGTCAATTTCCCTAAAAGAGACAATTTAATGACACACACATAATGTTTCATAGGAGCGGCTTACAGGGTCTGTGAGCTCACTTGGGCGTGAACAAATTAACCGCGATTTAACTACGGTATATGTATGTACGACGTACGTATATTATATATATTTTAGCTTCACCTGAGGTAAGGTGTAAAAAATCTCAATAAACTTTCTATTGAACTATAATCAAATTAACATTAATTTCCCTTTACATTTAACAAGCTAATCTTTTATCGAAAATCATATTTAGGAGCTCCATGTTTGTTGAAATGTTACACTTATAAATGACCTACCGTAAGAGGTTGATGGGGCCGGAAGTCTTAATAACAGCAGTTTTCGGATCCCTCCTATTACAGGCGTAGCTATGCTAAGAATGGTGTGAAATTGGAAGAGGCCTATGTTCTTAAATGATTGGTTCAATTTAAATAGAGTGTAAGACTAATCTCACATTCTATTTCGTTGTTAAACACTAAACATATCGTGTAAGTAAAACTGAATCGATTTCTTAACATACCTCTGAATATAGCTTGAACAACATAAATCAACTTATTTAAATGTCTTAGCTAATCTATAAAATTACACCAAGTATTTTCGATAAATACCTACATACAATACATTTTTTGATAATACAGCCCGGTGTTAATAACTCGATCATTTAAAGCCCGATTGAATCAAAAATCGATTTTCTTGCATCAATTAATCAAAGCCAGTAATAATAAAAATTAATTACAAACGTCACATATCGTATTTAGCATTCTGTTTTATGGTACTATGGAAGGTGAAATAATCATGCTCATCACACAATTTTTATTGTTATTTTTGTCCTGGGTGGGAATCTCTAACACCTAGACTCCTACAGTTTTTAATTAGTGATATCAAAGTTATTATAAGCCTAAGACGCTCACGTGCGGTTACCAAAAGATGTCGTTCCTCAATAAAAGCAAAAGGATAAATGAAATGCCTTCAAAGAGTTCTAAAGGATTGTTCCTGAATATTGGGTGCCGTTTACCTTACTAATAGCGTCAGAAAATCTTCAAAGGGAATGTAAAACTATTAACAGAATGACTCAAGAAATTTAATTACTTTATACAATTTTGAACATTTTCACATCTGCGGCTCGAATTAAAAGAACTGTTTTAGTTGTAAAAATTACAAATAATAGTATAATAATAATAATAATTTCACACAACTCACACAGGGCCGTCTGATTCCAAACTAGGCAGAGCCTGTGCTATGGTAACCAGACTGCTGATAAACATACTTATATATTTCTTAATACATACATATCATAGATTAATTACACCCAGACACATAATAAATCATCGTGCTCATCACACAAATATTTATCCTGAGGGGGAATCGAACCTCCGGCTTAGCAGTCAGGGTCACTAACCACTAGACCAACAGACCCGTCAAACAAATGTGTAAGACTTAATACTTACATTTTTTTTCAGTAGATAATGGACAAATAGAGGACTTGCGCTAGGTTATTTTGGTCACCTTACACGTGAAAATAGCGTCCATTTATGGCCATTTATGGTTATTAAATTTATAGATAGTAGACAGAATATATATATACATACATACATACGTATCTAATAATAGGTATTCTTATAGAAAGTACACATGTAATATTAGTAGGTCGAACGAAGAACTTTCAAAGCGATATGGTTAAAGTTTCCTTAGTTGTATTATGCACTATCTTTTAAGATGATGAAACTTAAGTTTAACTTAATATGCAGGTATTGTGCAGCGACCTAAACTTTTAAGTGTTCGTAGTTTAAGTGTTTTATTTTTACTTGGACTACGTTATACAGAAAAACTTGTAACCATGGGTGTCCTATCGAAGTTTGAAGATGTGGATGAGGTGTATCCTGATGCTTTTGGATGCATACAAGTCCATTAAACCGGCACAACGACGTTGTCTTAAAAAATGTTGAGCTTATTGATAAAAAAGCATTTCTATGTTTAATACAATATACGATAGTTTTTTTAAAACAGCATATATGTATGTACCGTGTAGGTATTTATCAACTATTCGAAAAATTTTACATTTAATGAATTGACATAAAATTTGATTTAATTCTCTTAATTTGATGGTAGTGGGTAACACAGACTACAAACATGCATTTTTATGACTAATAACTTGACAATGAATTGAAATGAAATGCCTCTACCTACATTACTGCATGGTATTTTGTATACATAGTTAAATACAAGTTATTTTTATGTAATATGCATTATACTATAAACCTATGTTCACAAAACAAATTCACAAATCAATGAAAATTTTTATAATTACACTTTGTTAAACGACAACTCTTAAAACTTATAAGTTGATTATAATGATGCTACAATGCCATTATATACACTTATACACACATTTATACACTTTATTTACAAATAACTGATACGGTTATATATTTATAGTAGTAGACATATTCATAAATCAAGTGTAGTCCAAGCTTCTAAGCAGGGTCGTAAGTGAAAACAGTGTATCACGAGTAGCTATTTGAGTGGAAATCTAAAGGCACAACAGGTTGGGGTCGAGTTATTTGCTAGTGAAGGGAATTTTGTTTAGTCATTCCGAATATTAAAGCGCGGATATTGAACAGAACATCTGTTGCTTTGAGTCGCATTTCCACTAGCAACGATTGTTGCGTTGCGCTACACGTGTCCCGGGCACAACGGGTGTTATTGGGACACTTTTGCCGGACACATTACAACACCGCATACTCAAATTAATTAATTATTTAAAATATATTATAGTATAGGTGTTTTTGAATTATAAGTAGTACTAGTAATCTATATACATAGATTACTAGTACTACTTATAATTCAAAAACACCAATATATAAAGTAAGAAAACATTTATACATATACCCTGACCCTGCAAACGTTGTTTTGCTATTTACATTATTTAATTTTTTTTTTTTGTTGAATTTCTTATAATCCGTTCTTAGCTGACCTCTACTCGGTGAAAAGAATATTCGTATCAAATTTCAAGTCTTTAGCTCTAATGGTTCCAGAGATATCGTGATGAGTGACTATATACGTGAAAACCTCTTATATATATATAGATATGTATAAATGTTATCTTAGTTTGTGTAACTTCAAAAACTCAAAAATTCGTTGCCGATTGAGCTCAAATTTTGACATAAAACCTATTTTTCGCGTCAATTTGATGCTTCATTTCTCATCAATGTAATCACAATGTGCCACAGCCAAGCTTTGCTAGTATAACTAGTTAAATATTAAGTAATTACAGTCAGTCAGCTATAAGTCAGTTGTTGTCAGTCGATTTGTCTGTTCTAATGTTTTGTTACTATGGAGAAAGTAATTTTCTTCAGTTGTCGATTCAATTCATGT